GCAACTTGGATATTGACATTGAAAATGTTGTGCTTAAGGTGTATAGCCATTTTAGCATCTCAGCTAGCAGAACGGCGCAGTTGAAGGAATTCTGCGAGTTTGTGGAAGTGGAGGAATGCAATCTGCTGCGGCACGTTGTCACGAGATGGTTGTCTCTGCTGCCATCTATTGACATAATTCTGAAGTGTTGGAGACCCCTGACCAGCTACTTTCAGAGTCTAGGTGAGGAGGAATGCTCCAAGATGTTGTGGAAATGCTTTGGAGAGGATGGTAACGAAGTATCTGAGATGTATTTTCTCTTCCTCAGTCACATTCTGAAAGTGTTTTCAGACTGCATTGAAGCACTTGAGGCCTAATCATTCAGCATAACCTCTGTGTTTAAGGTAATGACTGAACTGAAAGGGAAACTTGAGAGAAGGTTAAAGGACACATTTTTTGGCTTTGCTGTGAACAACAAACTCAAGCAGCTAACCCCTGATCTCGCAAAGAAATGTGAGGCTGATTTTCTTGTTTTCTATGAAAGAGCCAAGAAATACGTGAGTGAAAGGTATGACTTCTCTGAGAACAGCTTTCATAGTAAAGTGTCAAAGATTGGCCTCACAACCGCTGTGTCCTATGGAGAATACAGTGATGCAGTCCAAGCCTGCAGCCTGAAAGACATTGACATGGATGGACTCTATGAGGAATATGGCATGGTGGAAGCTATTCTCAGCTCTTCAGCAATGGAAGGATGCCACAGTGAGGAGCGGTATCTCAAACTGTTTTCCAAAGCAGAAGTCCCACTTGTGAATCTGAGGAAGGTCAGCGCATATATCTTCTCCATCCCATGTAGCAATGCCCATACAGAACGTGTGTTCTCAATGATGACCTCAGCATGGAGAAATGAGAGAAATCGTCTGGATGTGGACAGCGTCAAGGCAGAGCTGCAAATGTGTGTCAACTAAACATTTGAGTGCACAGACATGTACCAGAGACTCCTTACAAACAAAAAACTCTTGGAAGCAGCCAGGAAAGGGCAAAAGTATCGAAAATAGACATTCAACTTGTGGTTAGTACACTAGTCTCATTGTGTTTTGAGTGTGAAGGATTCTGTGAAGCCAGGATAAAAACTAAAAGATAATCCCAAAGTGTCCTCCTTTTTGGTGTTATGGAAATGGCCACCCTACAGTAAACCCAAAGCAGAAGAAGAAGAAGTGACGTCAGCGGCTTCATTTGCCTAATCCAGAGCCATATAATAGAAGAGTTACGACAACGGAAGTCCAAAAACGGTTATCGTCACGTGGTTCATGTAGAAGAGGATCGTTCCCCGGAAGTTCATGGCGGGCAATGTGAATGCACTGATAACAGGAGATAGAACTACGATTGTTGGTAATTATTAGTGAATAAAGGTTTTGATTTGCAAAATGTATACAACGAATCGATATGTGTATGTATTTACATCAATATGTTTTAAAAAATAAAATAGAATTTGCTAATATTAAGTGATAATATTAGGATTAGTGTGAACAACTAGTTTACATGGTAGGCTAACAGTGCCTTGGTTAAAGAGCCTGTTGCTGTTTATTTATAGCTTTGAATTCTTTAAAACCAATATTATCTTCTTAAACTTGTATGGTAGTCAGGAGCATCACTTTCTAATGTTTATTGATATATTTAGAGGGAGGGGATCTAAAGTCATGCTTTAAAATTCAGATTAGATTAATGTCTACCATTTTCTTAAATTCATGGTAGTTTCAGTAATCCCATGGTAATTGAGGACACAAGTTATCTAAATGACTAATGTCATCTTTATGGCTTTCAGAAAGGACAGGAGACCGACAGGTGACTATCAAAGGACTAGCAGCAGCAGCATGATGATGATGATGTTAAATGTGTTGTTTTAGGAACATCCATTGCAAATACATGGAATTCAATAAACATTGAATAGCATATCATGCAGTTTGTCTGTGCCTTTTCCTCCGTGTTGTCCTGGTTTGCTGTGCTGCCTCCTAGTCGCCACCATGGTTTGCTGTGCTGCCTGGGGATGCTCCAATCGCTCAGAGAAAGGAGTACGAATGTACGGCTTCCCCACTGACACAGAGCGGAGGAAGCAGGAGCAATTTCACAACCAACAGCAAAAAAATATGTGATTTATATACAAACACTGCATTTGCACTTTTTCACAAAACGAAAACCACACCATTGGGAAAGCTTAATGTTTTGTTTAATACAAAAAACAGGGAAAGGCTTGAAAAACACAGAGTTGAGACTCAGGGTGAGGGTCTCAGTGCAGGTATTCAGGCTCCATTGAATCCCCCTCTGGTTCTTGTGCTGAAAGAGGGAGTAACAGACAGGAGAAAGGGTTATACACACCTATATAGCACACCTATTGGATGGGAAATTGCCTTGGGGAGATAAGGTGTGGTCTTTGTTCCCAACTGAAGTTATGGAACTTTATTATTTGTGAGTTTAACAAAGTATGACAAATGGCATCAGTAACATATGTGATATGAATTTCTATAAAGTTGTCTCACATTCTTGGTCATATTGTATATACAGTATGTAATGAGTATAACATGTCCAGTAAGTTTAAAGTGTTTCCTAATACTGTGTATTCAACCACTATGGAATATGTATGTGGGCAGACAAAACTGAGTTGTTCTGTGTGTGTGAAGTAACCTCAAGTCACTCCACAGGCACATTTTGATGCAGACCAGTTTGTCAAGACAAAAAAGGGCAAGACTAGGCTGAGAGAGAGCAGAGGCTATACCCACCATCTTCGTGCATCGCCCTGTGGTCAAAAAGAGAAGGGCCCCTGCACCACGATTCACCCCGGGACCTGTATCTACAAAGCCCATAGCTCATGATCACAGCGATAGTGTGAAAGGTGACACAGGTATAATAAGTATGAACTCTTAGTAACAAAAGTAATATTTCTTATTTTTAAGTGGTATAATATTTTAAATGTTTGAACATTTACAGTGCCATGTCTTCTACTTACATTAGTCTCAAAGATTGAGGGAAGAAGGGAAGGGATCACTGCCCTCCACCTGCCAGAGGAGCGCAAACAACAAAAACAAGCAAGGTGTCCCGTCATGTACCTGGAAGTTTGGGTTGGCAAAATGGAGTAAGAGAGGGACTTGAAAAACCTTGGTGGCTGTCTACTCATGTTGTTACAGTTGTCTTGGTTACAGCTCTCAAGTTTTTTTTTGTGCCATTTCCACATCTTTAGAAAATATGAAAAAATGTAAGTGAAATCAACCTCATCTCTGGAGAACAAACTTTGATTTCTCTGTCTTGTGAGTTTGCAGTTTTGCTCCTCCACCTGTAACATCACTGCCCCTCCACCTGCCATACAGTAGGTTACTAACAAGATTACTTATATAATACAGTGATAGAATACATGTTTAGTATGCTTACTTATATAAAACAGTAGTATTAAACTTACCTTATGTGTTCACTCTCACTTAAGTTCCTCTCCCTTTGCCATCAATCCAAAATCAGCTGAGCTGCAACATTATACAGGCAGGTAATAATCAACATAATCACAAGGACACAATATGGCTCTGCTAAAAACACTCGCTCTTACACGCACCAAAGTTATATTTATCTAATATTTAACAACCTCCACCCCCGCATACAATCCCGTTTAGAAGCCCCTCTTCTCTAATTCAACAACGTTGGACCAAATGACATTAAGAGAATGGAATTTACAATTAAAAGGTTGTTCAACGTGTGTTGCTAACTTGCTTCGGTATCCTAGCTTGATCTGTTATCTGTAAACGTTCCCTAAATCTACTAATTTAGGGATAATCCACTGACATCCTTTAATACACATGTTAATTTGAATCAGATGTACTGATAATATCCGCAATATAAATCTTTAAACTTCTTCTTACCTTTAAAAGTCCGTCACGAACGGTTATTATGCTACAACTCTACCGCTCTGCTAGCCTTGGCGCTAACTTCCGGGGAACGAATGAGAGGCTCCACGATCCGCCATTGCTGTAAAAAAGTGGTCCATTGGAGTGAACGGAGATGTCATAACTCTTCTATTATACGGCTCTGGCCTAATCCACCCCCAGGTTCAAAGAGTTCTCATGAACCAAGTTCTCATGAACCTTTGTGGGAAAAGTATTGCGGTGTGAATGCGCCTAATGGTATACTAAAATCCATGTGAAAAAAATTGCTTCTCACTGTTCTCAGGTCAAATATTTATATGTGATTAAAAATGCGATTAATTTCGATTAATTAATTACAAAGCCTCTAATTAATTAGATTAATTTTTTTAATCGAGTCCCGGCCCTAATTATATTATTATAATTATTATTATTATTGTAATATGATAATATTGTATTTGTAACTTAAAAATCAATGTATTCCATCTTGTATTGGTAAAATAATCAACCTTTTCGTGCTTCACAGACGTAATATGCATGTCACAATGTTTGTGTGTTGATAATTTTGACTTTTTGAGACTTTCTGGTGCGTTTTCCTCGTCCCCGCTACTCGATGAAACCATGGCGGTCGCCATTTTTTCCAAATCTGTTTGTTGATACCATAGATAGACATGTCTATGGTTGATACCGGTATATGCAGCTACCCAATTGGTGTAGCACGATCACGTGACGGACCGTGGCACTACTTTTGACCAAGATATTATTACGCTTTGAAGGGACTAGTTCAGCCAATAATTACGTGCCTAGAAGAATTGACAGGAATTTTAGCGACAAACTTTTTTTTGGTGGATAGGCATGACTCGTTCTTTTTTATGAACTAAGGATTGTGTAGTTCCACTTCTGTGGAGCGGGATGAAACGATAACAGGGTTCACCTTATGGCCTATCTCTCTCTCCCTCTCTCCCTCTCTCAATGTTGGTACGCAAATGCGCTTTGTTTCAAATGACCCGGTGCTCTTTTTTTGGCGGAGGTGCGCATGCGCACCTGCGCACCAGTTATGTGCAGCCCTGGCAATAATGACCTCATACAGGCTTGACTTGCTCTGTGTCTTTTTCTCTGCAGGCCTAATCAAGTCTGATCTGCGGAGACAAAAGGCAAACATGTTGGCCAAAGCAGCAGTAAGTGTTAAAGATATAAGAAAAGGTGTTGGGGATATAATGTAGTGGAGCAATGGTGGTTGTAATATTGTTTGGTATAATCCTTTTTTTCATGGAAGATGTTTTGACAGTAGAAGCACAGACGTAGAGAACAAAATGAAGTCAAACATATCTGCCGTGAAAAAAAGACCTATGTGTTATTTGTTTGCTTGTCATAGGTTTGCATGGAAGGCATGCGGTCAAAAGTCACATGTGTGTCTTGTGTTGCTCCAGAAATAACTAACCTATTGTATCTGTCTACCTTTGTCTTGGCCTGCATGTTTGTGTCTGTACAATATTTTGATACGTGATTATTGTCTCTCTACGGCACTATGTCTGTCATAAATCATGTCTTTCTTCTGTTTAACCTTGATGTTACCTGCCAACCTCTGGTAGCATTGCTTTGAGTATGTTGTTTGGGAAATAACCTGATTTAAAAAAAGACAAACAAGGTTAAAAAAACGACAGATTACCTCCAATAAAACAAGAGCAACATTTTGAGAATGTTTGAATTCAACCAAAGCAATGCTACTCTAAGGAGGTGACAGGACTACAGAGAAAATCATTGTTGATGTGAGTGAGTCGATAAGCTCCAAGGTGAAGTTACTGGTGACAGGAAATAAGTCAAATTCCTCACAAATGATGCAAACATGTAATGAACAGAAAAAGCTAAACATTTTATTGGAAATTCAATTGATGGTGGAGAGCCACATGAGACAATCGATACAACGCTCATAACTTTTAAATACAAGGCTGAAGCCAGGGGACGATTAGCTTAGCAATGCACAAAGACAGGAAACAGTCTGATCTTGGAACAAAACCTACTAAACAACTACGTAACCAATTATAGCTAGTTTGTTAAATCAGTACAACAATTCAACATTTTATGTTGGTTTACATGCCAAAAATATGTTCTGTCTAGAAGCTGAACTAAGCTAAATTAGACTAAGCAAATTTAAGCTAATCAAAGCTAAAGCTAAGTTAAGCTAAGTGTCTTACAGTTAATAGACAGATATGTGAACGTGATATCTCCTGACTTAAAAGTTAGTGAACAATTACTTTGTACTAATACTTTAGCATTTTCAATACTTCTCAGGCTTCAGCTATACAAAAATGGAAGCATTAAAACCTTAAAGAGTGTTACAAACTCAATCAGTAGTTGGGGACAAGCAAGAATTGACTGGGGTTAATGACAAAACTGCCTGATGGATCAGATCGTGTCGCAGAAACTTCATCCTGGACTGAAGACTCACTCCTCTATAAACTCTGAATAAGAAGTGATTAGTAGCTGTTGTTTTAGGCGGCGAAGCAGATGTCAGGACAAGACTACGGAACCACAACGCTAATCTCCAATCCACAGACCCCCCCTTCACAAGCCTGATCAATGTACCTTTCTGCTTCCACAAAAATATCTTCTCAAATCTTAGCTCAACATGCAGATGCACTAAGGTAGGAGCTCAGCAATTAACACAAACTGCTGGAAATCACAATCCTACTGCACACCCTTCACCTGTTCACTCTGCTCGTTCTGTCCTTTTGTTTCCAACTACTCTAAATCAAATTAACAATATCATGTAAATATGAAACCTTTTATTTTCTCACTAATCCTTTTCTAGATTATTATATTTGATGATACCAAGGAGTCATGCATGTCCATACAAAACAATTTGAGCTAATTTATGATAGCTTTGTTAATGAAACTATGGCCTTATTTATTTATGTGTGAGTTTATTATGTATTCATATACAGGCGTTCTTCTGAAAGACATGTTGGCATGTAAAGCACAGGTTTTAATTATTTAATTATTAGTGGCTGAATTCCACTTGGCTGCTTCAGCTGGGGTTTCTGGTACAGACAGAGTGAGATGTGTTCTCATGCAGGGGGTAGAAGACAAATGGTAGGGATTAAAAGCTTATGAGAAAATCAACAAGTGAAGTTGCTTTTGTGCCTTTAAAACTCTCTGAGAAGGAAATCTCTCGGCTAGCTCAGATTTGCAGGATTAACTCCAGTCAGAGTGATAGATTTTATAAAGTGTATGGACGGCTTTCACTGAAACTACAGGAAACAATGCACTTTTACTGTGTGTGTAAAGCCATTCCATGAAGACAATGCAATGTTATTACATTAATGTTAATATCCCGTGCTTGCTACGACATGCCAAATTGTCTAATGTGACAAGGGCCAATTTATGTGCTTTTGTTTGTCCATTTGTGTGTTTTTCATCTGGCATGTTTTCTGTAACTTGCGCTGTTTTTCATCAAGATCTTTCAATTAAAACATAGTTCAAATAACTACACAGAAGCAATCCTATTTCTGAAGCTAACGAAGCAGTTTACATTGTTTTGTTCTTTGTTAAGAGTGTATCTTTAAAATGTAAGTCATTTTGCACCCATTCCGACCTAAAGGGATAGTCCCCCCTAAATAAAACAAAACAAGTTATTATTTTCTAACTTTAGTAATTGTTGTATCTCCTGACCTAGTTACTTAGGATAATGTGCAGAACTTGTTGTGAGTAGTTTATTCTACGATATCACCGTACAGAAGGAACTCGAATATATGAGATTCTTTCTGAGAGCTAAGATTACATTTCAGCAGAGAAGGACGCCATTAATGTTTACATTTCGCTCTGTCACATGGTTTTTCCCGTGAGCAGATTCACGCCTTCTTCACAGTGATTCATTTGGAGGTGTAGTTCAGCAGAAATATATTAAATGTATTTTGGTGCTTGGAGAACCAACGCTCAGTGCCATTACATTCTAGATAAAATGTCTCCAAAAATCAAACTCACATCAAGACAATCTAAATAAATAACAGTTTTCTTTGTTTAGGGGTGAACTTCCCTTACCTACCTAAAATCTACAGAGAAAAACAACAACTTCTGTGTTGAGTCCATAACTCTGTTGACTTGTTGTTTTGATTGATAGGGACCTTCCGACTATCCCAATGGGAGCGTGGCTGCATCGCCTATCATCGAAGAAGCCAAGCTTTAGAGGCCACGCACACACACACACACACACCAACACGTTCTCACTCCCATCCCGTCACATATTGACGGACGGTCAGGGCCCCTTCCCGTCGCTATATTACGTATAGGGTACCCCTTGCCCGTCAGGCTTCTATGGGCAGGACGTCCCATAGACCTTCATTGCGGACAGCGGACCCCTTGACTGTCAGGCTTCTACGGGCAGGGCGTCCCATAGACCTTCATAGACCACGTGATCAACAACAATGGCCGACCTTCGTGTTATTCTCGGTGGAAAATGCCTATTTTAAGGTTCATTTGGCCAATAAAATGCGTTTTGATGTCATTTTATGCGATTAATATGAGTTGTTATTTCTGATTATTTGTGCAGTACATGTACATGATGTTTAGTTTGCTAGTTATGACGAAGATTACTTCATGAATGTGTACACATTCATGGTTGCTAAGGTGGTTGCTATGGACGCTGCAACAGCTCCCAGACCACGTGATCAACAACAATGGCCGACCTTCGTGTTATTCTCGGTGGAAAATGCCTATTTTAAGGTTCATTTGGCCATTAAAATGCGTTTTGATGTCATTTTATGCGAGTAATGAGTTTTTATTTGTGCAGTACATGTACATGATGTTTAGTTTGCTAGTTATGACGAAGATTACTTCATGAATGAATTCATGCTTGCTAACGTTTTTTTGGTGGAAATGTGTTTTTCTAGGGCTGTCAAGTTAACACGTTAATAACGCGTTAACGGAAAAAAAAAATTAACGGCACTAATTATTTTAACGCGATTAACGCATGTGTATTTTTTGTCCTCGGCCGCCCCGTAGTTTCAGAGCGCATCGAGTTTAAAATACCATCTACAAGCTGATGCTGACAACACTGCTCCTGCTGCCCGCTTGTGGCAGACCACACTTCCACGCTCACCGGCAGGCACCGGGAGGGTGTGTGTATGTGTGGCCCGAGCAAGCGAGAGAGAGACCTTACGTGCATTGTTGTTGTTAGCATCTGGTGCTAGCTAGCTGCGCTAACGGATATAAGGAGCTGTTTAAATGAAAACAGAGGAGCGACATTTCGCCACAACTGCGCGGAGCACTTGACTTTATGGAGGAAGCCAGACAGTGCGACATTGTACGAGAAGTCAGCACACTCAGCACGGATAGTGCGCAACATGATTGTAGCGTCCAGGCAGCTCCCGTTCGAGCATATGCCTTGAGTTGCACACTTTATATATACAGTCTATGGTTGCACATAGCTCCAACGATCCATCAGACACACACACACACACACACACACACACACACACACACACCATTTGTATTGTATGAGAGAGGTTCCAGGTTGAATTGAGGCGAATATTTGTAATGTTCAGAGGTTGTTGTGTTTAATATTCATGAGAATATTTGTCATTGTTCAAATGATAATAAACATTTGCATAAAGCATATTTGTCCACTCATATGTTGATAAGAGTATTAAAAACTTGAAAAATATTCCTCTAAGGTACATTTAGAACAAATCAAAAATGTGCGATTAACTATGAACAATCATGCGATTAAATATTTTAATCGACTGACAGCCCTTTTTTTCACAGCAAAGTCACCCTCTGTACTTGGACTTATTGGGAGAATCTAAAGGCAAGAACATCCCAAATATTCATTTAGGTCTTTATTTTAGACCTTTAGTGTTGCCGTCTGTGAGGAAAATAAATGGGGCTCAGAGCCTCGTATTTTTAAAATCTTTTCTTCCTTCTAATTTGTTATTATTTTCAAAATAGCACACTGTTATTTACTCACAAATAACACACAATTATCCTTGCTTTTATTTATTGGTTTAATTCCATAATCTTGGGCTTTTTGGGCGTTCGTCAGGAACTGAATTTCAAAATAAAAATAACCGGAAACAGACGTAGGCATTTCGAGCGATTACCCAGGATCCTCAGCTACGCTGATTGGATGTTTTAGCCGCAATGCATGCTGGGATTTGGTGTTTATATTATATGAAATCCGGAAAACATTTTAAAAGAATACTTAATTCCGAGTGCTCTTGCTTTTCTCTTTGAAAGTCATCACATAACGGCATTGTAATACACGGTTCGGCTGCATTACATATTACAGATCTGCCGTAGTTCTTTATTTATAGAGCCCTGATGAGAAGACCTTTGGAAAAACTGAAGAAATGCCGCCGAAACTGAATACTTGACGTGGATCATAAATATTTCAACAATTAAACAACATCTTCAATTTCTCTTCACACAATACGTGTCCTTGCAGTATCAACACTAATTCGGCCGACTTTTACATTTGATATAATTCATAGATAGGTTATATTTACACCATAACGGTGCACAGCTGATATAAAAGGACTTGTAGTTTTTAAAGATATTACTGATTTGAATTGGATTGAATTTTGAATGTAAATACTGAGACTGAAATAGTATAGCAATATGCTGTAAAATTATGTGAAAGCATGAATAAAACTACACATCTTCAGATGTTGTACATACAAGTGTCCAACACTAATAATACAAAGTTATTATGGCTGTGTGTACCTTGTGTGCACCGCCTAGTGGTTAAAGCACGTTATTGAATTTTTGTTGTTATGTGTTATATTTGATTAATATAAATATTAAGAGTACATACTTTCATAGGGGGAAAGTAGAAGGTCTGTGATAGAAATATAGAATATAAAAAATCAAGAAGATACTATAAGTGATCTCTACAATAAAACAGTTTAGTGCTGGATGTACAAAGATATTAATAGGAGGAGGTGCAAAACAGAAAAACGAATTAACCTTTATTTAAACATTAAATAACAGATTAAGGTCTTCTTTTAAATAAGAAAAAAACTTTGGGGGTATCTATCTACAGATAAATATTAAGCCTGACAAAGTACTTAACGTCTAATATATTGCTTTCCTGCAATGTATGTTGAAGCACTTATTTTAACTGATATTATACATATGGATTATACTCTTATGTAGATAGATTGAATAAGAAATGTGCAGAATATGACAGTTTAATGGTGGAGGGACACACATATTGATAGATGTCTTGTAATGCACTGTTGAGGAACCTGTGACCCAAGTTTTTCATTCATTGCATAACTACACCGTAGTTGTGTATATGATATGTCAATAAACCTTTGAAAATCTTGAAATCTTGAAAGGGATGTGCAAAATAGCCATAATATACAGTCTTTAATTAACTATTAGTAGAGAATAACGAGTAATTAATATACTTTATTACTCGTTTCCATTCATGTCAATTGCAGATACATGTTTAGTCTTCTCAAGCACCAACTATCAAATATCTCTCCTGATTGTTGGCACTTGACAATCACCTTACCTGAATTTTACTCAGGTGTAACTAAAGTCTGATTTAAGGGTTGTTTATATTTCACATCATTAATCAGAATCTGCAAAGTAACTCAAATAAGCAATGTAATGCACTGTTGAGGAACCTGTGACCCAAGTTTTTCATTAATTGCATAACTACACCATAGTTGTGTATATGATATGTCAATAACCCTTTGAAAATCTTGAAATCTTGAAAGGGATGTGCAAAATAGCCATAATATACAGTCTTTAATTAACTATTAGTAGAGAATAACGAGTAATTAATATACTTTATTACTCGTTTCCATTCATGTCAATTGCAGATACATGTTTAGTCTTCTCAAGCACCAACTATCAAATATCTCTCCTGATTGTTGGCACTTGACAATCACCTTACCTGAATTTTACTCAGGTGTAACTAAAGTCTGATTTAAGGGTTGTTTATATTTCACATCATTAATCAGAATCTGCAAAGTAACTCAAATAAGTGTAGTGGAGTAAAAATACCAGGTTAACCTCTGAATTGTAGTGGAGTAGAATTACAAAGTATCAATGAGCTGTCATGTGGGTATATATTAATGCTGCGCATTATGGACAGCGATTTTCACCCATTTATTAATTATATGTTTTACATTTGATAACACCAATGTGTTTAATACTGGCAACTTCTAATTGTGGGAAAAACGAAAACGTTCAGTAGAGACGTCCCATAGAACATTTTGCGAAACACAATAGTGTAGCATGTAGTTCTGGGGGGGCGTTCGATTCCAGTTTTGGATAGTCTGGCGTGGTTTCGTTCCATTTCAAACAGCTGTTTGACGCTCGGCGTAACCTTGGCCCACTGCCACTCCAACATCCAATCCCAGACCTTGAAGATTAATCACGGGGACTGTAGTCCTAAACGATAGCTGGGGATTATGGGCAGTGTAGTGTCTTCGGCCATCCTAAACTCAAAAATGTTGACAATCGCAATGATGCTCGAAATGTCCCTTATAGGCCTACGTCTGTTTCCGGTTATTTTTATTTTGAAATTCAGTTCCTGACGAACGCCAAAAAAGCCCGAGATTATGGAATTAAACCAATAAATAAAAGCAAGGATACTTGTGTGTTATTGGTGAGTAAATAACAGTGTGCTATTTTGAAAAGAATAATAAATTAGAAGGAAAAAAATATTTAAAAAATACGAGGCTCTGAGCCCCATTTATTTTCCTCACAGACGGCAACACTAAAGGTCTAAAAATAAAGACCGAAATGAATATTCGGGATGTTCTTGCCTTTAGATTCTCCCAATAAATCCAAGTACAGAGGGTGACTTTGCTGTGAAAAAACACATTTCCACCAAAAAAACGTTAGCAACCATGAATGTGTACACATTAATGACGTAATCTTCGTCATAACTAGCAAACTAAACATCATGTACATGTACTGCACAAATAATCAGAAATAAAAACTCATTACTCGCATAACATGACATCAAAACGCATTTTAATGGCCAAATGAACCTTAAAATAGGCATTTTCCACCGAGAATAACACGAAGGTCGGCCATTGTTGTTGATCACGTGGTCTATGAAGGTCTATGGGACGCCCTGCCAGTAGAAGCCTGACGGTCAAGGGGTACCCTGTACGTAATATAGCGACGGGGAGGGGCCCTGACCGTCCGTCAATATGTGACGGGATGGGAGTGAGAACGTGTTGCACACACATGCACGCACACACACACACACACACACACACACACACACACACACACACACACACACACACACAAAAGTAAAAGCCTTGAAAATGACCATGATCTCCTTTCCTGTTACAGTGTAACATACTGAGATATATCAACCCAATTAGGAAGTATTGAATCCCACTTCCCTTCTAAGAAGAGTTAGATGTACATTGTACAATGTTGTATTAACTATTTATAAATTAAAAAAATGCTGAATTATATTGGACATTTAATGCTCAATTTCAGCATATAAAATCCACTGTTATTGTTACTTGAATTCTCTCACTACATCTGCAAGACAAATCTGTGACTTGTTTGTTTCTGCCTT